CCAACTTTAGACATATAAATAAATAAATAGATGTGAACTTCCAGGTGATCAGAAAGGAAAACCACTGATAGGGAAAATTAAAGGCAGGTCTTACATGGTGTGTTCATAGCAACCCTCCTTCCAATGCCACTTCAGTAAAATGCTTAGCAGAGTGTACTGTAGGTAAAAAATGTGCATTTTCAGAATAAACACAGATGATGTAAGATTTCTTTTATAGTGCTTTAAGTGTTATAAATTCTGAAGATTTCTTTCTGTAATTGCTTCTGAATATGTCATATATAAAAATGAATTTTAAAACTTCGGAATGAAGTTGGGTTTAGGCTCCCAAATTTAAAAAAGTTTGGTATTTCATTGAAGCTTACCTGTTAATATAAAAATAAATCCTTGCTTTTTCTAATCCAGTGTAATCTAATTGCAGTTGATGAGTAAAGAGTCTCCAGTCTCTGTTGGAAATGATGCTTACGTTGACCTTGATCGGCAGGTATCTAAGACTAGATGTTTCTTTTCTTTCAATCAGAGCACATCAGTGCCTTGTCATTTTGTTTTATTAAGAAGTCTGCCTTTTTTCTTTAATCTTGAAAGGGTTTTGTGGGAAATTCAAATAGCAAGTGGAAAACTAATTTCAGTATTTCAAATCCTTTTGCTTTCTAAGTTGAGTTTATCCACTTTGTCTATTTAAAGGAGAGAAAAACTCAGTCTGGAACGCAAGTTCAGCTGTATGACGTAGTATAGCAAAACTGCATACTGGTGCAAATATTTTTGTCTTCAGAAAGAAAGATTAAAAAAGGGGGAAAAAAAAAAAGAAAACCCAAACACTAAAATGTAGTGTTTGAATAAAACTTATTTTGCCAGTTCCTAATTCCAAAGTCAGTTTAAAAAAGCCCCATGGATGTGGCTCAAAAATCCTTGAAGCAGTCCTGAGAACTATTACAATGTACAAGAGAAGTTTTCAAATAGAATCCTGCCCTGTCTGACACATTTAAAGAATATGCAAACCCAATTATTTTTATACTATCTTAACTTCATGATAACACTGTCCAACTTCTCAGTATTTTTCTAATTGAGAAGTATAGTTCATTGGTCTTCCTGTGTTCCTCCATTGTGCTTTCTGTGCAGAAGTAGGTAAATTCTGGCAGATGGAATTAATTTTTGTATGTCAACAGGCCTTGAGAAATAAACTTGGAAAAATGAGATACGATGATGCTGTTTGAAAAGGCCCATCTAAAATTTGTCATATATAACAACACAGATATATATCTCTAGATATATAATATGCATGCACCTGTTTTGTCAGACCAATTTTCTTGTAGCTGTGTTTTTTGTTACATTAACTTGCATTCATATGCATACTTGCAAGATACTTATCCTTGCACATAAAGTCTTTGAAGGGTAGCATCTGAATATTTCACACTGCTTACAAGGTTCAGTGCCCTTTTTCAGAAGGCTAGGCTTCTCTCTCACCAAGTTAGTTGTATTCCTGTTTTGCAGTAAGACTAGTTTGCAGTGACTAGAGAGATTTTACCCTAATTGTCCATTCCCTGTATTTCACCATCCGGTCCTTTCTGTATTTGAAAAGTAGATTGAAAACTGAAATTACGCACTCTTTGCATCCGTAAAGAAAAGTGGTATTGACAATTTTTTTCAGCATACAGAGTTGATGACTTCTTCAGGACCAAGTTCTTCAGGATATTTTGACTCAATTCATAATAGATGTGATAATTCTAATGTATTTTTGTAAGACCAAATATTACTTTTTACTGTCACACAAACTAAACAGTAATCATATATGCTTCTTTCATTCTTTATAAGAGCTCAATTGCCTCAGTTTTCAAAAAACTAATGTATTACCTAAATGTAAAAGTAATTTCACAGTCATGTACTTCAGAATATTTTAGACACTTCACAGAAAGTGGTGAAGATATAAATGTTTGTTGTTTATGACAGCTGAAGAAAACTACAGAAGAATTAAATGAAGCACTAGCAACAAAAGAAGAAATTTCCCAGAGATGTCATGAGTTAGATATGCAGGTAGGTTTGCTATATTGTACATATTAATTTTGAAGTGGGAAAGAGATGTGTTCATTTTTAGGCAGCTGAAAACAAGAAATATAATGTGCAAACATAATTTTTAAAAGAGATGAAAATTGAGCTGTAACTATTTTGCTTTACTTGTGGTAGCAGAGTGAATTTCATTGTTTCTTACCTTGATGCAATGTTGCCAGTGTTAAGATGATTCATACCAGCAAAACGTTTTTCCATTCAGGTGGGAAGGGATTGAGCTGGGTGTTTCAACTCTTGCATTAGAGAGCTGAGAGAGTTTATGCTGCTATAACAGTTTCAGTTAAGAGTTACATTCCAGTGAGAAGCTACTGTGGGTCTTATGAGCTGTGTATTGATTTAGAATACACCTTTGTGTAAATCAAGTGTACATCATCCAGAAAGGCATTGCCATTGCAACCCCACTTTGGAGTGTAATTCAGGCTTTTGCCAAGCAGTTCAGTAACTGTTAGAATTAATGAAGCTGATTTGTGTGTGATGACCGCTTTTGGTGTATCTGATGATTCAAGCTCTTATTGAAGCATTTCCACTTGTTGAGATGTTCATATGCCCTCTCTTCCCCCCCTTCTCCTGTGTGTTAACTCTGTATTAGTTAGTAATATATGAACCCATGCTTCAGGTGTTGTTTGAGTTGCACAAACCCATAGTGCTGCACTACTGCCTGTTTTCACACCACTGGCGGAAATTGAGTCATCTTACAGACTGTGTTCCTGTTTTGTAGGCATTGTTTCTTTTGAAAATCAGTTATAAAAGCTTTAATGGGGAGGGCTAGTTTTATTTGTTGTGAAAGTATGCAGACTTTGTTGTAAAGGTAGTTATCTTTTGTGATAACTATTATGTTTTCTTCAGATACTCATGTGAAATACAGTTAATAGATTTACCATACAGAAAACGTTAACAGCCTGTAATGTTGCAATCTGTTGATTACATCACGTAACAATTGAATGGCTATTAATGTTATGATATATTCTTGTGAAATGTGATTATTGAAACCTTTCTTTTCATTTGTGGGTTGTGTTGATACTTTATTATGGACATTAAAAAAAAATGCTCTCTAGCTGGATAGCTCGATTATTCCAATTTATGCTTTTATTGCAACAGGTTGCAGCCCTCCAGGAGGAGAAGAGCAGCTTGCTCGCTGAGAACCAGATTTTGATGGAACGTTTAAATCAGTCTGATTCTATTGAAGATCCCAACAGCCCTGCAGGTCGTAGGCACTTGCAGCTGCAGACACAACTAGAACAACTCCAAGAGGAAACATTTAGGTAGAAAAGCTACACTTGGTTAGACTGTTTGTTTGTAGCTGGCAGCAGACATGACGTGCATACTTCCAGTTTTGCTGACAGTTGTGAATTAGTATAATGGGTGGTATAACTACAGCAGTAAAGTTTTTACAGTGATGTGTTATAATTTGCCTCTTTACAAGCCAGCATTAAAAAAAAAGATGTTTTCTTAATGCTGAAATGCTGTATACATGTCACTCTCTACTCTGTGAAGTTACTTTGAATTGTTTGTGTGCAATCATTTCACTGATGTTTTTCAAAATCAGTGAAAATCAAGAGTATCATGCTTTCCTTTATGTATGTTATTCTGACTGTATTTTTAAGATGTAGGAATTCTTAGCTGAAGGTTTGTTATGGGCAGTACTACAGGTGATACTATATAGCAAAATCTGTCCTTCTCTGAGTTTAAAAACAAATTGTTTTGTATCTGAAAGATGAAGGTTATCTGCAAGTGAGCTTTGCATTTCTTCAACACGTGGAAATGCAGTTCCTCTTTAAATATCCTTCCTGGTCCTTTGGACTGTTGCTTTCAGGCTGTGTAAGCCTACTCTGCTCAAGAAAGCTGATCCACTTCAGCAACAAGAATGAAAAGATGATGTACTTCTGTGAGTGAAACAATGGTGTTGCTTTACACTGCCATTTTTTCTTCTCTTTGTTCTCTTCTGGTTGCCCTTTTCTAATTCTTAAGCCTGCTGCCATGTAACATTCCTTTTTCATCTGTCCTGCCATTTTTCCACTTCTTGCTAACCCTGCATGTTCAGACACACCCACTTCCTTCATTTTTCTGAAGAATGTTTAGTGTTTCTCTTTCACAGCAGCTCGTGCCTGGTTTTATTCTTTCTATACATCTACGCTGTAAAGGAATAATGTGATGTTTCTCCGCTGTTCCCTTTTATCTCTTCTTATTCGTCTCCATGGTCTGGAATGATTCCTACCTGAGTCTGTTATTAATTCCTGTTTGACCACACTTTCTCCCTGTAGATATCTGCACTGCCTGTTACTCTAGTTTTGGGTTCGAAAGGTCTTCCTCCAAACCCTGTTCACCTGTGAGACTCATCACCCAACCTCCTTTACCTCCTTCCCCTGCCTTCATGGCTTGCGGTTTCAAATGGCAATTTGTGTGTGTTCCTTCTCCAGCTCCACCTGACCAAACAGGGTATCTGTACAGCTTAACTGATGCCCAGTGTGGTACAGCAGTTTTTCTCCCAGTCTTGCCTCTTTATGTCCTTTGACAGTTCCATTCTATCAAGATCTGACTATTTGTTGTATAGGGTTTAGACGACCTGCTGACTATCCTTTGTCTCCAGAGTTGTAGGTTGTTTTTGGACACTTTGAACCAATGGATAGAATACTTTTTATAATTTTAATTTCAGATCGAAATCACAATAGGACTCCATGTTCTAGGTTGTGTCCTCTTCCAGTTGCTCAAAATACTTTGAGAAAGTTTCTCTTAATTATTCCCTTTGTTCACTACCAGGTTAATGCAGGTTTGCCTGTGTATGCTTTATGTAAGTAGTTCACTCCAGAAACTTTGTTCTGAGCTCTTTACAGGCTAAGTAGATAAATAAATGTATAACTTCTTCAGAGGTACTGACAGGCACAGGATCTTTATAAGTAAGTAAGTAAATAAATGAAGCAACTTTGAGAGATCTACAGCTTTTAGAACATCTGACAATTCAGTTCAATATTGTTGAAGGTGTATAGGAGTCAAACAGCTGATCAGAATCTTAGAATGAAGATGTCATGTTCCAACTCTGTTATGCATCACGATGGAAAAAGGTGGAAATTTCTGCTTGAGCTTCCATTGTGAAAAATTACTGTGACAGATGAAACTCAGGATTTGCATGTCTGAGAACATACATTACCTTATGATCTTCCAAATATAAAGACTGATGTCAAATTGGGACCATTAAAAATTCAGTTTGCTTCTACATTTTTGAATAAGAACATTGGGTTGCTGTTCTCCTTCACTGCACCAGAAGGCAGTTTCATGTGTTTTTAGAGAGGATGAGGAGCAGGAAAGGTAACTGTGGCTCAAGCTGAGAATTTGTTTTCTGTTTTACTTCATTTCTACAGATTAGAAGCTGCCAAAGATGACTATCGAATACGCTGTGAAGAACTAGAGAAGGAAATTGCTGAATTGAGACAACAAACAGAAGAGCTTACTGCACTGGCAGAGGAGGCTCAGTCTTTGAAGGATGAGATCGATGTACTCAGGTAAACTCTGTTCCATTAACCCTTTTCAAACTAGTAACTTTTAATCCATATAATTTGTTTATTAGCTTTTGTTTAAATAGTTTTAATATAAGATACAAAAGCTTTCTTAATGAGAAGGCTGTTTTGGATCCACCAGTTAAGTATGCAGTCCACCACACAATTCTGCTTAAGTAGATTACTTATTTGTTATGTGCCTAATCAATTACTGTTAGTAATCTTAGAAAACCTACACCATCTCATGGTCATAACAAGTCACCTACTGGTCTCTTGAGTATTCTTTACTCACCTTTGTTATGACTTGGTCATCTGTTCTCATCTGGGAGCTAGACCCTTTCTTTTCTTGCATTTGCCTTATTTGGTCTTTGGCTGGTGCTTTTGTTTCATCGTATGATGCTAGTATGAACATCTGTTACAGCTCTCTATTCCACTGGATTTTAGCACCCAAAGTTGTCATGATTTGATGATGCTAGGGGTTTATAGCGTGAGGCAGCCCCTTTTACTATGGAACGTTACTCTTCAGTGGTGGCGTCTTGCTGCCATGGGCCATTCAGAACAGTTATCCGCTACCCACCTGTGTCACTCTTTCTAGCAAGTCTAGCAAGACTTACTTTAATACTACCTTTTCTAATTCACCAGCAGCTTTCTACCCAAGCTATGTATGTCTGCCTCCTCTGTCATTAGTATCAGGCATGAGCCCATCAGGCTGCATAATTCCATAAACTGTGTGGACAGCATGGCTTCAAAGAGAGAGGCTCTGCACTTCAGTGAGGATTAAGGAGATGTGGCTTGCCCCAGTGTCCTATAGACTGACTGTCAGTTCTGTGGGATTCTCCAGATTTCACAGGAAATTGAATCTGTAGATGGTTTTGTTCTAAAATGAAACTCGGGACAGTTATAGTAGCGAGGCTGTGGATAGTTGGGGTAAGGGCTGTTGCTGTCCTGGCAGTGCACTAGGTGAACTGAAAAACTCTGAAATGTTAAGAATGGAGCCTGATGTTTTGGGGTTTTTTAGAAGGAATCCGGTTCCAAAGCTGTTAAGGTACTTCTGTGTCACCAAGTATATGCTGGCCAGGAAATGGATCTTTATGGTTTTCTTCCTGGCTATAATTGAAACAGATTGAAGGGCAGAAAATTTTATTCTTTACCCTTGTAAAATGTAGGACTGAGGATTGATTTGGAATTGAAAGTAAATGGGTGGGAGTGAAGGTGCTTTAACTATTATTTTAAGATTGGAAGCTGATCAGGCATCTGTATTACGAAGAGTGATAGTGTCTGAAAGTACCTCCATTAGCAGCTCTCTGACTTGACAAATAGTTATGGGACGGAAGCAGACAAGTTAAAACTGAAAACATTAGTAATGTGAGGATATGACTGCTTTCTCATCCTCCCCATGATGTCCCAGAATGTATTCTTCATTAGGGCAGAATACTGAGGAAGCATCAGGACATTTCAATTTTGTTAGTTTTCAGAGTACAAATTTGATGCAACTGTCCCTCCAGGCATTCTTCCGATAAAGTAGCCAAGTTAGAAAGCCAGGTGGAGTCATACAAAAAGAAATTGGAAGACCTGGGTGATTTGCGTCGACAAGTGAAACTCTTGGAAGAGAAGAATACAATGTATATGCAAAATACTGTGAGCCTGGAAGAAGAACTAAGGAAGGCCAATGCAGCACGCAGTCAGCTGGAAACATACAAGAGACAGGTAAGAACAGACACCATCAATGCAACAGTTCTCTGTAGTGTTCAACACTTTCTCTTCAGAACATGGCTAATATTTCAAAGTAAAAAAGAAATTATGAACAAACAGCTACTCGTGTTTAGAAGACTGCCATGTTTTGTGGGTACTACCTTTCTTCTCCTTTCTTCCAATTCTTACCAGTATTTCACGTTCACATTAGTTTGCCAATAAGCAGTATTTCTTACTTTTAAAAAATCAGCAGATAAGTTTATTCTCAAATTATTCCTAATGTATATTCAGTAGTGGGGCTTGAATTACAGCCTCTGCTTTCAGAAAACTTATCCACTCTTCACTTACCAATTTTTAACACTGAGGAAAGCACCACAGCTGAGGTAAGTGGTTAAGCAACCTCTTGTTTGTTAAAGTTCTGGTTAGTTTGATATGTCTGTATTTGTCCAGTTATGAAGAGAGTAGGATGTGTATCATCCCTGTTGTGTATATGGATGCAGCAGAATACAAAATGTGTCACCAGCACACTCTCTGGAGTGAAAGGCATCTGTTTATCCTCCTGCTTATAAAAGTGCCATGTGATCCTGTTTATGTAAATGTGGAAGATGTGCTTAATCTTCTCTCTGCTTCTACACTACATCGACATGACATCATCCTGGGATTCTTGTTACAGGGCCAGACAGACCCTGGTTCAGTAAAGCAGTAGTGCCTGCACTGTATTTCTGCCTGCTCATAAGCTCTAATGATCATGGCACAGGGGTCCCTATATGTCAGCTTACAGCAGAATAAAAATACAGAAACAACCATGAATATCACTGCAAGCCTGGGAGCAATGTGTGTCCGTGAGACTTGATAGCTTTTTCCCTGCACTTGGCCATCTTAGTCTTAAGATAACCAGCTGCAGCCTCTATGAGCTAATTGTAAGTACAGAACTCAGACAAGAACAATGATGAAATAACAGACAATTGAAGGGTAAATGTAGAAAGCAATGGCCTTTCACATATGAGTAGTATCATGTTTACTGGTAACAAATATTTCACTCCTTAGAACAACTGAGCATGTGATGTAGTTGTGTAACCTCGACATCTGCATCTGATTGTTCTTACTTCACCAACAGTAAGGATGTTGGAAGGGGCAGTCCCATCATTTGTGCTGCAAAAGTACTCCTCCTTTTATTGAACATTCCCTGTGTTTTATGGATAGGATTTCATGTCTGAGGAGCTGTTGATTTGTACAAAACTGTTCTGCTGGATGAGACTGGAGTAAACCTCAGGTGTCTCGTATCAGATGTGAGTTTTCATCACCTGACCACAGTGCCTCAAAATGAACCAACAGTGTGTTTGCCTTCAGTGTCTCCAAGGCTAGGCTTCTTTTGAGACCTGCCTCTGAATCATCAACTGTCACAAGATTAATTTCTCAGAATCTTAAATTGTGCTATAAGAGTTAAGCCAGGTGTAAGGATTCTGATGTTATCTCAGAGCTGAGCACAGGTGTGCCCTTGTAGTGGAATATGTCTTGTCTGGTGTGTGAAGGGTCCAACCTCACTTGTGATGATGCCGTCAGAGGAATTATTTCTTTGGCTGAGAAGCCCTGTGCTGTGCAAATGTACATGCTTAGTTTAAACTCCTGTAGTTGTCTGCAAGAAAATCGTATCTTCACCCCACCCAGCAGTTTGTGTGAGATGAGGTTAGTCATGATGTGTTGTGCTGGGAGATGTAACAGCATTTATTTGTGTAAGAGTTTTTGTTCACAGCAAGCACAAGCATTTTTAAAGAAACTTTTTGTTGCAGCATGAAAGACTGAAATGTGAAGACTTCAGAATTATTTTTTGTAATTTTAATTCAGCCCCTTTGTGCATGTGCATTCTGATAACATTTTTAACAGTGTCTGGCTTTTCTTTGCTGCAAAATTCCTGCTTTACTCATTCCACACATCAGATAATGCTCAGTAAATGTGATGACAGTTAATTATTTTTTTTTTACTCTTTCTTGATACCATGTAGCTATATATCTTTCTTTGCACTCCCAAGTCCTGATGCAAGACAATTTATTTCCTGCAAGGTTTTTCTGCATATCATTACCATAGCATGAGTGATTACAAACATTAATGCATTTGTTTCCATTTGAGGTGAAAATATACCTGTTTTGCAAGTCGGGGCACAATCACGAGGAAACGGGTGAAGGCCTGCATTTTTTTTACCTACAGTTTTTCTGATAGCCCCAGTGAAGGATGTCACATCTGAGGAATAAAATATTTTCATAGCTAACATTTTGATACAGTTTTTTAACCTGATAATTTCAGAAATGACGGGCCTGACCTTTTTTTTGCAGCTTTAATTTAAGAACAGCAGCAGCAAAGTCCTTCTCTAAGACTTAAGATCATGCAGATTTCTATTTCTGGTAGTTATTTTACTATAGCTATACATGTTGAAAATAAAAGATAATTAGAAAAAATAGGCAGTCTTAATGTAATATGGTTACTGCTTTGCTTCACAATTTAAGTTAATCACTTTCTCTGTAATCTGAAAGCCATGAAAAAGTCTTCTTCTGAATTGCTTCAGAAGCAGATGAACATCTTCAGCTGAGTCTTCATTCAGCTTTTGTGTTTGCAGGTCAGTTTTTATGCAGATTACTTGCTTCCCTGCTCTCTGCATTATGAGCTTTACTCATGTTCTGAGAATGAGCCTTTTCTGAGAGGCTGTGAGTTTTGAAAAGGCAAGCCTTCATTGATTTGCCTCTCGTTCACTGATTGTTTCTGCTCAGCTTTCGGATTTCTGCTCATTTAATTTTCAAAAGCCCTTTACTGATCTGCATTTGAAGGTATACATGTGATTTTGTTAGCAGTGTTTCCTTCTGAAGTAAGGAACTTCTGAACTGTTTATGAGCGTGTGGCTGAATCTTTAGTACATTAAAAATTATTAGGAAAATCTCAGGTTAAGAAACCTTTCCTGACTGCATAAACTGGTGTTTGACTTCTGAGTGAGGCTTGCGAAATAGAGTTTACAAAAGGTGTAGATAATTTGCTTTCTTCAGAGTGTTTTTTTTTCCTTTTCTCTAGGCTTCTCAGAAAGCAGGACATTTTTTCTACTTTTCCTAAGCTCTTTGATCCATAGAATAGCTTTTATCTGTAAACCATGCTTGGGCTTAAATTCTTCATTTTAGATGCTTCACAGTTTTTACTTCTTGTGCCTGTGCTAAGACCAAATATTTGAATGCTGTTGGTTTTGCTGAAACAGAACAACTGGATGAAAGCAGTTTTTAGTGTGTCCTATAAGTAACTATTTAACTTGTTTACAACATGACTCGTGGTGCATGGTAATTGGCTACTTTGTCTTGTGTATTTTGTTTTAATATTAATATTTGCAGACAAATTATTGATTCTTGTTCTCACAGGCAGTTGAACTACAAAACAGGTTATCTGAAGAATCCAAGAAAGCTGATAAATTAGATTATGAATGCAAACGACTGAAAGAAAAAGTAGACAGCCTCCAAAAAGAAAAAGATGTAAGTGCCAAAGTGTTCTTTTTTTGGTAGTAGTGATAGCAACTTTGTGTCCTTTATAACACAGAGGTATGGTAATTATAGCTAGCCATTTACAGCAAGCTTTTTAAATTAGGAAATCCTTTTTCACTTAAAATTTTCTAATGTTTGTGTAGAAGATCTTTTTTAAACCTAAGAGCTGTACAGCATGTAATAAAGTGACTGTACAAAAACATATGCAACCCATTTTTAAGAGGAAAAGCCTTCCTATCTCACCATTTACCATGAGAAGGTTAATAAATACCTAGGGTAATTGTAATGTATTCTGAAAAACTGTTTAAAGTAGGGTTTCTGCAGTATCGTCCTAGAACTAAACTCATGTTGCATTTTTTTCTGAAGCATTCTTTGAGGTACCATCAGCATGTTTCTCTTCATGGAGTCATGACTACTGCAGCAAGAAGATTAGGAGTTGTGTAGTGATGTGTCCCTTGTGGCGATCTTGCCTCTGATGACAGCTCCTTGTTAATCTGTCTTGTATTGCCATCGTGGAACACACAGGATGGATACCAGCCTATTCCCTTCCTCTCTGTTGTTCGCTGCTAGTGACTCTGCAATTAATTGCTCTGTCTTCTTTTACCAAGATTGATCCTTCAGACTTCCCTTGCACACTGTTTTCTCACCAGTTTATTTCAACTTGTTTCTTAGGAGTCTATACGCAGGTGCCTCAGACTACCTCAAACCAAGGCCACCACTTCGAGTTAACAATTTCTTAGGCTTGCTTTACGTGTAAGTCTGTCTATCCATCAGTCAGAATCTCTATAGGCTCTTCCCTCAATAGTCATACTTCCTGTCCACTTCTTTCCAAAATTTTCAGCACCTGCACCTGATTACCATTTGAACTGAAAGTTTTCAGTTATTTTCTATTCATAGGTTCTTGATTTCTGTATTTTTTTAATATTTTTCAACTATCGTAGGCATTTGTCCTCAATATCACTTCCATCTGCCCTTCAGTTCAGATTGGAATGCCCATAGTAACTGTATTTGTTCTAAGTTTTGGCATTCTTTCCTGCTCCGTATTTAAAGTTTGGTTTTGAGTTTTTTTGTGTGTGACAATGGTAAGGTTGTGTCTGTGGCTTACCCATTGCTTGGTGGACCGTTTCATCTTGCACAAAGGATCTGAATTGCAGGCCATTGTCGTGTAGTTTTGTTTTAAATGCTGCTGCTGAGGCAAGCAGCATTTTTGGGGGGGACAAATGTTATTTTTCAATACATTCTTTTGAATGGATATGCATCTATGAGAAGTAGATTTCAGCTGAAGTCTCTCAACAGTTGAATTAGTGAATCCTTACCCGTGTTACCTACTTTTTCTGTTCCCTGTTGTCACATACATATCAGTAGTGTTGCCCACCACAGCTCACAAGCTATATAGTGGTACGTTGTCAGTTATATTTTGGAAACAGTTACTGAAATAGATTCTGTGCTTGCCTTTATGTTTTGGCAAAGTGTGGTAGTGTTTTTGGTATCTTCAGCTATATAGCTTGGAATTTTACCTCTGTGCGGTGTTTTATGGTAAGTAGTAAGATAATTTGATGACTTGACTTTGTCTGCAATGTACAAGTGAAGCCCTAGAGCTTTTTCTATTCATTAAAATATCCTGGCATTTGACAAATCAACTTGGTGTTTTCTAACTGATGACAGCAGACTGCAGAATCCTTGCTTTCAGCTGCTGAGTTGGAGCACTCCTCTGTGTGTCTCTTCTTCTGTAGCATTTATGGTAAAAAGTCTTTTGACCTGCGGTGTGTGCAAAACAGCTTTCAGTGCTAACAGAATGTACAATTCACTCAGATTGCACTGACAGTTGCACCTGGCAGGATTCAGAAATATAGCAGAAGCTTCTGTTCACCTCACCAAAATGTTCTTTGCCAAAGTGATTCCAAGTCCTGGATCCATGTGGGCTGAAATGTAAAATACATCTGAATTGAACTTAATAGGATGAAACGCGAGGAGCTGTCAGCCAGCACCACGCCATACCTACAGAGACCAGTGGTCTGTCCTGGACCATTTAGTAATACTGGATATGTCTCATTCTGGAGCAAACTACAACTTGGATCTTTACATATTTGACATTTTATCCTCTCACTTTTGAATCTTGGGAACCTTCTGGACTAAAAGTTGATGCTACCTGTGGATTCTTATTTTTTGCCAAAACGTGACTCATGCCAAATCAGGAGAGTATTTGGCTGATGTGACTGAAGAGCCCGTCTGTGTAGATCCCAAGGTGGTCCAGTCCTGTTCTTCTCTTCTCTTTAGACTGAGCCTCAAGTCACTATTTTTCTTCCATAACTAAGATGCTAGTGAATGCCAAGGCCAGTTAACAAACAGGAGGAAGGGCATATGGAAATACTGCTCACACTTCCACTGTTGAAAGACAAAGAAAATTAAGTTAATGCAGTTTTTTATGATGACTGTGTACTCAGCTTTTTTTTTAATTTCACTCCTGGATATACCTTGGTTTCTTGGTGAGAGTCTCTTAATTCACTTCCCTTTCCCTTAAAATCAGTCTCGATAAGGGGGAAAAAGAGGATGGCTGAGTGGCCCCAGTGGATGCTGTTTACTACCTGGTACCAGAGCTTTGTGTCACTAATATCTTGATTTTTGTAAGCTTATACCCTGATATTTTTACCCCCAGAAGTGTAATAACAAATAACAATCTTTCTGTTCTTGTGCAATATATAATATTTATGTTTTTCTGTTATGCAGTAGACTGAGATTTTTTTATTTGAAGATCATCTCTAGACTTGTATTATATTTTTTTGAAGTGTTGATGGCAGTGCCTTTTGGTTACTTGTGTACAGTTAAAGGTGGATTATAGTGCTGAATCTAATACTCATTCTCTTTCCAATTATTCAGAGATTAAGAACAGAAAGGGATTCTTTGAAAGAAACTATTGAAGAGCTTAGATGTGTACAAGCTCAGGAGGGTCAACTCACCACAACAGGTAAAGGACAAATAAGGAGATTAAATGCATCTTTTCTGAAGTTTACATGACGTCTCTGGAGAGTATTGTGTGTGCTTTTGTTTAGCACAGAATGAATGTAAGCTCTTCTAAGATCAGTAGTGAGATGCTGCTTCAGCTATTCATAAATCTGTAAGCATTTGAAAACTATAATTTCTAATTTTCATTAGAGAGGTAAGTTTTATCATGTGTGTATGATGTTTCATGTGTTGCAGTTTATTTCTAGGTGTTATACTGCACAGCTTTGTAGATCATTGATAAGCTAATGAACAGAAAATACACCACAAAATTGCTTCAGAATGAAGACAGAAATAATGATTATTCTCACAATGAAATTGTGCTTGTCTCTCTCTCTTGCTGTAGCCTGACTTAGTATTATTTTCCATTGTCTAGCATTACTCTAAAACTGTAAACTTCAGAACTATGTTTACTTCTGGTCTTTTTAAAGAAAGTTACTGATCTGCTTGCTACATTTTTTACTTAATCCAGGACTGATGCCTCTGGGAAGACAAGAGCCTTCAGACAGTTTAGCAGCAGAAATTGTTACTCCTGAAATAAAGTAAGCTAATGTGTGCTGTGTTTACTAACCTTCACAGTATACCCATAGGTGATTAGTTAGTTTTCACTGTTAGAAAGTTTCTGCAATTAATGGTTGCAATTTTTCTCTCTGTATTTCTGCAAAACAGAAGCTGTTATGCTTAACACAAAATGCAGTTGACTTTTTTTGAGTTTGTATTGTGCTCCTGAGAGGGGATAAAAAAAAAACAACACCAAAAACCCACAGGGAGCAGAATAGGGCCCCCATAATCCAAGGGGAAATGGGTAGAGACCTGCTACATCACTGAGGCACACACAAGTCTATGGGACCAGATGGGATCCACCCGGGGTACTGAGGGAGGTGGTGGAAGTGTTCACCAAGCCACTTTCCATCATTTACCAGCAGTCCTGGCTAACGGGGGAGGTCCTAGTTGACTGGAGGTTAGCCAGTGTGACACCCATCTACAAGAAGGGCCAGAAGGAGGATCTGGGTAACTACAGGCCTGTCAGCCTGACCCCAGTGCCAGGGAAGGTTATGGAGCAGATCACCTTGAGTGACATCATGGGGCATATACAGGACAACCAGGTGATCAGGCCCAGTCAGTATGGGTTTATGAAAGGCAGGTCCTGCTGACAAACCTGATTTTCTTTGACAAGGTGACATGCTTAGCAGATGAGGGAAAGGCTGTCGCTTGGCTTGCCTTCGTGGGTTTGCAGGGGTGTGATATAATCAATCTGCTAGGCCGCCCCATGTTTATGTTTCAGCCATCATCCCCCATACCAGAGAAGCTTTAGCCTCTTGGCTTGTTTAATTGCATCACATGTTTCACATTCATGAATAACCTGAGCAATAGCGTCCATGGTCAGGTCCACCCCTTGGTCACGAGCCCATATGTATGTGGCATCTGTCCCTTGGTGGCCCGAGGTGTCATGGGCCCACTGGGCTAAAAGCAGCTCACCTTTATGTTGCCAGTCCACCTGCTTATTGTATCAGTGTTCTTCAGTGGCTTGACTCTGGGGTGCGTGGGCTTCTACATGACACACTTTAACGACCAAGTTGTCTAACTGGGCAGTAATATCTTGCAACAATGCTGCAGCCTAGAGGGGTTTGCCTCTCCACTGCCAGTTGCTCTGCTTCCACTGCTGTAGCCACCCCCACAGGGCATTTGCTACCATCCACAAGTCAGTATAGAGGTAAAGCACTGGCCATTTCTCTCATTTAGCAATGTCCAAAGCCCAGCTGCATGTCCTTTACCTCTGCAAACTGACTCGATTCACCTTGGCCTTCAGCAGTCTCTGCACCTTGTCATGTGGGACTCCACACAGCAGCTTTCCACCTCTGATGTTTCCCTATAATGTGGCAGGACCCATCAGTGAACAGGGCATATCGCTTCTCATTTTCTGGTAATTTATTATACACAGGGGGCTCTTCAGCATGTCACCTCCTCCTCTGGTGATATTCTGAAATTTTTGCTTCTTCAGGACAGTCAATGATCACTTCCAAGATTCCTGGGTGACTGGGATTTTCTATTGGAGATTGTTCTGTGATCGGGGCAACCCACTTACTCCATGTAGCATCAGTGGCATGATGTGTAGAAGAAACTTGGCCTTTGAACATCCAGACCAGCACTGGTAGTGGAGGTGCCAGGAGGAGCTGTGCTTCAGTTCCAACCACTTCTGAGGCAGCTCGGATTCCCTCATAAGCTGCCAGTATCTCTTTTTCGGTGGCAGTGTAGCAGACCTCGGATCCTCTATATCCCCAACTCCAAAATCCTGGGAGTCGACCTCGGGTCTCCCTTGGATCTTTCTGCCAGAGACTCCAGGTAGGGCCATTCTCACCAGTTGCAAAGTAGAGCACATTCGTTACCTCTGGCCCTGTCCGGACTGGTCCAAGGGCGACTGCATGCATGATCTCCCGTTTGATCTGTTCAAAGGCTTGTCGCTGCTCAGGGCCCCATCTGAAATCGTTTTTCTTATGAGTCACTTCATAGAGAGGGCTTACAATTTGGCTGTAATTTGGAATGTGCATCCACCAGAAACCCACAATGCCTAGGAAAGTTTGTGTTTCCTTTTTGCTCGTTGGTGGGGACATAGCTGTCATTTTGCTGATCACGTCCATCGAGATATGGCAACGTCTATCTTGCCATTTTACTGCTAGGAGCTGGATCTCCAGTGCAGGTCCCTTAACCTTACCTTGTTTTATGGCAAAACTGGCTTTC